GAGGGGAGGAGGAGGGGAGAAGGAGGAGGGGAGGAGGAGGAGCGGAGAAGGAGGAAAAGGAGGAGGAGGTAGGTAGTTGGAGTTTCACAAGTTTCAATCAAAGCTGTTTGACTTCTGGACCTCTGGTGCTGATGGAAAAATCTATAGTTTTGAAAGTCAAGCTTTAAACTTCCAGTAGCAGAAGATAGGCTGATGGATCAGCGGACAATCACAGGAGTGGCCAAGAAACTTCAGTAAACTTGATGAGAGGAAAAGAAGAACATGGCCTACCTCACTTTTTAACTTAAACTAGGAAAAACCAAGACTTTAAGCTCCTTGTAAGAAAAAGAATTGCATGGTGAAGGCTGGGTTACAGCAGCTGTTTCAACTTCTATGCTTGACTCTTGCCTGAATCCATGGTAAAATAAATGGTGAAACAGTGTGGCTTTTTCATTATTCTTCTGTATTTATGACTCTATATTTTGTAAAGAAAGAAGCTTTTCAGTCCATGTTTTCCCTTGTGATAAATAAACAGGAAAGGAGGGCTCTGAGACCCTTTCAGAATTTTCCCAAGAAATACACAAGCTCTTAAGTATTTGAATCTAGAGGTTTTTTTTTTACCAATGTGCATGTAGCTGATGGCACGCTGAAGGTCCTTCCTTCGTGACCATATTTCTCATTCAATAGATTCTGCAACAGGTGCATATTCGTATCAAAGAAATGCAATTTTCTCACATAATCCTTTGTTTAAACACGTAGAATAAATAATTATATGATTTTCTGCAGGCTATTTGAGAAAATTTAAAGATAAGCTTAAAGACAGGATAAAATTTGAAGATGTTTCTGTAAATTTAAGGAAAATTGAAAAATTAATTTAAAGATAAATATCAAAAGCTTTACTGTTTTAGTATGATTTTAATATAACAAATAAAATTGATATCACAGAATACTTAAGAACAAGATTAAATGTGCCTATATTTGAGTAAAATTATCTGGTTATTTAATTAGTCCAAATGACAGTAAAATGTTGTCAATATGACTGGAAAGGAATGTCACATCATGCAATATTATTAGGAAACTTTACTTCATTTCCCTACCTAGCTATAAAATTCAAAAGTTATTCTAATAAAATCTAGGCTCTCTATGTAGATTCCACAGGTTAGGACAATTTTTTTATGTTGGGGACACTAGTGAGTAAGCCAAAAGAAATCTGTTATCATCCAGAGACTTCTCTTAGTCTTGACAGATTCTATGGTTTCTTTCAGACTAGCTTAAATGACAGAATGTCTGAGTCGCACGTGTGGAGGACAAAGGCCCACCGGGGTCTGCTGCTTCAGCAATGCTCTGTGTCCTTCTGGACACTGTCCACCTGGGTGGCCAGGGCTCCTCTGAGCGGGTGCTGTCCCCTCCCCCGGGCAGCGTTGCAGGAGAGAGCTCTGCCTCCGCACCGACAGTCTGACTCTCGAGGAAGTGCGTGCATGTGTCACGTGGGTGGCTCAGATGCTGTCCAGGCAGTGGGCCCACTGTGATACATCAATAGTTTTGTTTCCAAGAAATGAAATACAGACGTGAGTTGCTAGATGACCCAGAATGAAATCTGATCATGAAAAACAGCCAAGCTTTTCAGAAAGCTAAGCCACCAAGGGCAGCTGCTTTGCATAGAACAGCTCCACATCATGCCACGATGCGTGTGCTGGCCCCATGGGATGCTGCTTCTAAAGTCAGGTGGATCTTGGCTGTTGCCTTTCTAGAGCCCAAGGTGGACCTGTGCCCCCAGGCCTTCCCGAAGTTAGAAGGGAGAAGACTCTGTGCCACCCTTGAGGTGCTGTGCTGGGCACAGGTGGCAGGGCGTTAGGTGAGGGACACCCAGGGAGCAGGCAGGGCTGGCAGCAGCCTCCTCAGACTCCGCTTCATGTCACTATTCCTCAAGGTGTAGACGACAGGATTCAGGATTGGAGGTAGCACGGTGTAGATCACAGAAAGCAGCCGGCTGACCACCGAGGGTGCCTCCGAAGGAGGCCTCAGGTAAACAGTGAATGCACTCAGGACAAAGACTGTGAAGACCACAAGATGCGGGAGGCATGTGGTAAACGCCTTCGACTGACTTTTCAGGGATGGAATCCTCAGCACAGTGGAGAGAATGTGAACGTAGGAGAGCACAATGCAGAAAAAACACGACAGGCTCAGACACACCCCGATGGCCATGCTGAGGTAGACCACCAGGAGCGTGTCGGAGCAGGAAACTTCAAGTAAGGAGGGGACATTGCAGAAAAACTCTGGGATCACATGGGAGCCACAGAAGTGCCCAGAAAATGTGCCAGCACTGTACACAGCTCCAAAGAGCACCCCCATGGCCCAGGAAACACCTGCCATCAACACACAGGTGTCGCCATTCATAATGGCTTCATAGTGCAGGGGACAGCAGATGGCCACATAGCGGTCATAGGACATGGCTGTGAGCATGAATATCTCACCTGCCGAGAAGGAAGTCATTAGAAGAAGCTGGAAGGCACAGCCTGGAATGGAAATGGAATTGTCATGAATCAGACTGTTGAAAATGAACTTCGGGATTGGGACGGACACCAGGGAGACATCCAGTAAGGACAGGTTCTTCAGGAAGAAGTACATGGGTGCTTGGAGTTGTGGGTCCAGGGTAAGAATGGTGACAACGAGAAGGTTGCTCATCAGAGCCACCAGGTACAGCAGCAGGAAGAGCAGACCACAGAGTGTCTGCCATGCGGGGTCCTCAGAAAACCCCAAGAGAAGAAATCCTGTCACCAAGGTGACGTTGAGCATGCTAGAGTCTGCTCACTGCCTGTCAAGCTGAGGACATACACACACAAAAGGAGAAGTCATAATCAGTCTAAAAATTTAGTTGTAAACGAGACATGTAACCATTGTATCTTAAATACACTTTCAAATTTTTTTTAAATCTCTTTCCTCCATCCCTCCTTTTCTCCATTTTTTTCTCACCCTTATCTGATCTCCTCCCCTCTTTTCCCCTTCTCTTTCCAACTAAGGATTGAATCCAGGGTCTCACACATGATAAGTGGGAATCTACCATGTGCTACATGCCAAACATCTACTCTCTAATTTTTTTTTTAAATATAAAGCAACTTACATGGATAATACATGAAGTCAGTTAGTCTTGGTTCTGCTTTTAGAGTTTTGATGCTCATAGATTTTGTAATGATTTTTCAGGGTTTGAATATTGTCTTGTTTCCCCTTAAATTGTAAAGAAATCTTTTCTAATTACTTAGCATACTTCAAGTAGCTAAAGGAAAAAAAAAAAAGTAGCTAAAGGAGAAGATTCTGAATGTTCTCACTGCAAGATGAAGACCTGTTAATGTGAGCCATGTGGAACTGCTTTTATGTGCTCATTACTGAATGCACAAAGGTATGAAGCAGCACATTACCCGCAGAACTGTTATAATTAATAACACACACACACACACACACACACACACACACGTGCATGCACAAAAGAATCAAGTAGTCTTTGTAAGAGCTCACCTAGTCCTGTAGCCTGAGCTTTTCCTTGCTTCAAGGTGAATATGGCTTCATGACACGGGCACTCCCAACTCACTGCGCATTTGCATCCAACTGTTATTGGACCATGTTCCTGATTAAGCTTTTTCTATTAGAAAAACAACCTAAAATCCCAAGCCATTAGAGTTTGTTGGTGCACCCAGTGCTGTGCACTAAAGGGAAGCTTGGGCACTCATGCACTGTTATGATCATGAACTCACACACACACACACACTTCTATTAAGTACTGCAACACAGGCTAATAACATCCTCTGTGCTCTTAGGTATGAACAAGAGGATGCGCATGAAGACTGGTTGTGCAATGTCTGTATTACCTTCAGTCCATGCAATGCTAGTTTAGTGACCAGGAATGGGAGAGAAAAGACTGAGTCATTCCACATATTTCATGTCTTATGGGTAAACACATGTATACCGGAGCCATGCTATGAGGTTTCCCAGTCTACGTGATGATTTGTATCATTCATTTCTAATGCTATCAGATATGTTCTTTCTACACTCAAAATATCTCCCTAGATCATTTGTTAATAGTGTGGTTATTTATTGATTCTTCCCTGAAGGCACACAAGCATGTCCCACATGTATCAGATATGAGCTAAATGATAGAGATTTACTTCCCCAGGAGCTTGTACTTCACAGCAGGAGGCATATAAAGAACACAGAAAACACAGTAAGGAAGGACAACTCTCAGACAATGGCTGGTGGTAAGGAAGAAGAGGTGCTGCTTGTGACTGAGTGTTGGGAAGGCACTCACCTGGGTGACCTGGGCGCTGACACAGAAAGGCAGGCAGAGATTCCTGTGTCCAGGTCACCAAGCAAAGGCAGCTCAGACCGAGCAAAGGCTTTGGGCACCAGGGTCACCCAGGAGAAACAGACTGTGGAGACCTGGAGTGTGGGGTGAGGCCAGAATCTCAGCATGAGGATCATGCATTCCAACCTTTCCTTGGGACAAACACACAGGGCATAGACAGGAGAACACGAGGTGGAGAAGCCAGCTGTTAGATTATTTTTACTTGTTTCCAAAGTTCTTATACTGTAACATTTTTAAAATCTATTTTGAAACAGAGGATTTTAACATTCTAGCCAAAGGAATTTGAAATTTATACCTTAAAATAATGCCATTTCTTTGATTATCTGACAAATGATTCCTCAATGTATTGTTAGAAAGCTGATGGACCAGATGATGAAGTTTCTGACAAGTTCACAGGAGTTGAATTTCTTCACCGAAATAAATTTCAGTTTAGCAACTGAAGTCTTGAAGGTGAAGTAGAACATCAAGTTGTCTGGGAGAAGGCCTTTGTGGCACACAGGAACAGCCCTCGGCTCCTGGAGACTCCAAAATTCCTGCTGAGTTGTGCCAGTTTCACCCGGAAGGGAGAAAAGTAAGGCAAACAGGAAAATCATTAATCTGTTGTAAATTTCAAGTCTTGAGTAACCTGAAAACCTCTGGACAAAAGCCAGGAAGCACACCTTTTTATAGCCACTTAGTTAATACACAAGATTCCCCAAGGGAAACAGTTTGAATGGCCTTATGAAGTGTGATCTCTTGTTTTGCTTACTTTCTCATTTTGAGACAAAATGCCTGACACCCAAAGTTTAGGCTGAAGGGTATTCTCACCCCACAGTTTGTAGAGGTCTCAGACCATAGTCAGCTGTCTCCAAGGCGGGGTGGCATGCGGCAGAGGGGCAGCAGTCAAGGCCGTGGAAGACTGCAGAAGCAAAAGGGGCCTGAATGGCGTCTTTCTGCCATTTTGATCTTGTGCTGGCTACCAGGCTTAGGGCCGTGGTAAACCTGGCAGTGGCCTGATTTGTGCTCATGCGCCCTTATTCCCAGCATTGGCTCACTATCACTCCCTTTAGACCAAGATGCCCTTCAAAAAGCCCACCAATGACTGCATAAGGCTTCTGGGGAACATCTAACCACAATCCATGACATGTTTCAAGACCACTAGCATTGTAATCACTTGGTTTTTCTATAGATGGATCTGCTATTTGGCCAGCCCTTTGGTTGACATCTTGATGACAGCCGTTCGTTCTGGGGTGAGGTGGAATCTCAATGTTGTTTTAATTTGCATCTCTTGAATGACCAATGATGTTGAACATTTTTTCACATATTTACTTGCCATTTATGTATATACATTTGTTAAGTCTATATTCACGTCAGATGCCCACTTTTGGATTTGGTCTTTGAATTATGAAGGCCTGATTTTTAAAAAAAACATCTTTACATGTTCTAGATAGGAGTCCTTTGTCTGAAGGACAGTCTACTATAATTTTTTAACACTTCATGGTTTGTCTTTTTACTCTGTTGGTGATTCTTTTTTTTTTTTTTTTACTTTCAGCAGATTTTCTGAAGGATGAGGTCCCAACTGTTGGTTCTTTGTAGTATTTTCCATGCCATTTGATTTGTTCATTAATTCTTTTCCTACCCCTACATTCTTAAGGTTTTTATCTATTTTCTCTTCTAGAAAATTTAGTGTTTAAGTTTTAATATTTAAATCTTTGATCCATTTTGACTATAGTTTTGTGCATGATAATAGGCATGGGTATATTTTAAGTCTTTAACATGTGGAAAGCCAGTATTCCTAGTATCATTTATTAAATAAGCTATTTTTCTTCCAGGGAACAAGTCTGGCCCCTTTGTCAAAGATAAGGTGACTGTGTGTGCTTATAGTTGTGTCTAGATATTCTAATCTGTTCCATTGCTCTTCAAATCTTTTTATTTTTGCTAGTACAATGCTGATTTTATCATAGTAGCTTTGTATATAATTTCAACTCAGGGTTTGTGCTGACTCCTGTCTTTCTTTTCTTAACCAGGATTGATTTTGCTATTCTAAGTCTCTTCTGGTTTCAGAAGAATTTTAGGATTTTTTTCTATGTCTGCGAGGTTTAGTAATGTTATTTTAATTGGGGTTGCTTTGAATTCATATAATAAATTGAGGAGTATGACCATTTTCACAATGTTGGTTCTTTTTATCCAGGAGTAAGGAATATTTTTCTATTTTCTGAAATCCTCTTTGATCTCTTTTTTCAGAGTACTGTAATTTTTGCTAGATAAAACTTTTACTTCCTTTGTGGCACTGAGTCCGGAGTATTGCATTTTTATAAGGTGTTATTGTGAAAGTCATGCTTTCCAATATTTTTTCTCTCAGTATGTTTGTTGTTTGTGTATAGAAATGCTGTTGATATCTGAGTGCTGACTTTTTATCCTGCTATGCTACTGAATTTTGTTATGAAGTCTATGTCTCTTTATAGAGTTTTTAGGGTTTTCTTTGTACAGTATCATGGCATCTGTAAATAATAACTTCTTCCTTTCCATGTGTTTCCATTTTCTCAAATCCTCTTCAGACTCTTTTCTCAGAGTACTGTACTTTTCACTGCATAAATCTTTTGCTTTCTTTGTGAGATTGATTTCTAAACATTTCAGTTTTTGGATGTTGTGAAAGGCATGTTTTCTCTAATTTCTCTCTCAGTGCATTCATTGTTTGTGTACAGAAATGTTAATTTTTTGGGGGTGTTGACTTCATATCTGCTACATTACTGAATGTGGTTATTAAATCTACAAGACTCTTGGAAGTGTTTTGGGTGTCTTCTATGTAGATTATCATGTCATCTGCAACTAGTGACAATTTCATTTCTTTTGTCAAATTCCTGTTATTTCTCTCTCTTGTCTAATTGCTCTGGCTGATGTTTCCATAATTATATTAAACAGGAGTGGTGACAGTGGGCATCCTTGTCTTGTTCCTGATTTTAAAGTGGAGGCTTTTAATTTTTGTGTACCAAAAACAACGTTGTCTGTAGGTTTGTCATGAATGGCTTTTGTCAGATTGAGTTAAAGACCATGTATTCTGATTTTCTGAAGTATTTTTTAATTATGAATGACTGTTTGGCTTTACCAAATCTTTGCATCTATTGAAATGATCATGTGATTTTTCTCTTTGGTTTTGTTGATATGGTGTATTACATTTATGGCTTTGCATACATTAAACCATGCTTGTATTCCTGGAATGAATCCTATTTAGTAGTGATGTATATTGTTGATGGTTCGCTGTATTCTGTTTACTAGTATTTTACTGAACATTTTTGCACCTATGTTTATTAGAGACATTGTCCTGTAGTCTTCTTTTTTTGTCAGGTCCTACTCTGATTTTGATATCAGAGTAATTCTTGCTTGCTTTCCTGAATGAGTTTGGGAAAATTGATTCCCTTTTAATTTCACTGAAAATTTTGAGAAGAGTAGAGGTCTGCTC